GACAGAAAGTTGTAAATTATGTGAAAAAATAGACACTTTGAGTTTTAGGGTCTGGATTTAAATTGTATTTCACAAAACATCGCCAATTTTTTTAAAGAAAATAATTAGTGAATTTCAGCACACTTACAGTATTTCACATTACAAACCATTTTTCAATGTGACACAGGGGAGGAAAATGTGTGAATTTTACTATTCTACCTCAAGTATGAAAATAAATAAGCTCTGAAATACTGCCGTGTTAAGGAACAACGCCGTATGAGCCTTTAGACGTTGCCATATTTCCTTCGATAGAGACCTAATTTACTAGGAAAATTGTGAATATTTTTCTTCACTTTTTCCGGACAATTTTGTTCGCAATTTTATCTAAAACGTTTGAAAATTTCAAAGAAAAATAAGCATAATTTTCTTCAAAAATACATATTTTATCCGGGGCGATTTGGCAACTCGCGAAAGTTCATAAGACGTTTTTCATCAGCACGGCAGAATAGAGTTTGGTATTTTATCCTAAAAACTATTATGTTCCAAAATTAATTTAACGACACCGTCGATAAGTTTGGCAAGTTGCGTTCCATGAGATTGAAGGCAAAACTGTTCGCTCGTTCCTGCTCGACGGATTCCATCACTGGATCAGGCATCGGATTTGTGTTGTATCAGTCTTATTAAAATGGTCTGCCATCTCCAGCGTGGATTGGGCGATCTACCAGTTCTCCTTTGGCTCACACGAGCTGGTCTCTGATTGTTCCCAAGAAGATTTTACCTCCTTCTGTATCCGATCTTCTTCAGTGCTTTCAGGTCAACATCTTTGTAATAGTCCTCACTGGAAAAAATGTTAAAAATCATCAATGTTACAAAAAGGAATCCGTATTTTTCCATACTGAATTGGATCGCATTTATCAAGAAGGAACCAGTGCGATTACAGTGTTGTTATAATGTTACTTTTTCATATTTCCAAAAATTGTCTCAGAATAGCAAACAGATGTTGCTTCCTACCATAAACTTATTGATTTTAAATGAAAATAGTTTTAATACTGTACATGTATGAAGTATTTTCAAAAGAAAAGAAGAAGTTGCATAATTTTGAAAACACTGTAATCGCGCTGTTTCCTTATTGCTAAATGTAGTCAACTTTTACAACCCCCGTCATGTCACGTCGTCACCTACCACTGACCATCCCTCAGGGATCCGTCCAGTAAGAACCAGATCAAACATCTTTCTTGGTAGTTTTCCTAATTGTAGAATCATACTTTCAGTATGGTCATATCATACCACCTGTTTGGACATAGCCATGGCCTCGAATATTATGTCATTTTCCCCTCCCGTTCATTTACTCACATATCGATGACTAAAACGTGAAACAAGTATCTCTGTTTACGACAAAGGATAATCCAGACACTTTGAACGCCGGGGGGCGGAACTAGGGTATGGGGGCGTCCTTATGGACATTTTTGAAAACTATAAAGCAGCATGTATGCATTTTGAGTCAATTCTGCCATAAATGATTACCAAATTAGCGTCCCTCCTTCTTCTTCCCTCCATCACCTTCCTTTCTTTATTTCTTTTCTTTTCTTCTCCTTTTTCCGATTGGACGGAGGGCATAAGGTCCCTACGCCCCCCTCTCTATGGACCCACGTATGGTTCGCGACGTTGCAGACTCTCGGTCATACTTCATTTTTTCTTCGAAAGACTAGTCAACCAATTTTCTTGAAAATGTCCTTGATATTCCTTCGCTATTGGTAGAACATTCCGTAGAAATTTCAAACTAAATAGTTGAATTTTTTCTCTTCAAAAAAATAAAAAGAGAGCAGAGATTTTGAAACACTTTTTTGACGGAAAAAAAATGGTTTTGCACTTTAGCTATTGATATCATTAAAGTTCCGATCCCTCTTAGGAATCCTCTCTTTCTATAGGTATGCTCTCAGCATATCCTATGTCCGTTGATTTTGCTGAGCATCCTCTCCCCTTGCAGATCAAAATCTGCTTGCAGTGTTTATTTTCAACTTACCGTCGAACGATGAACTTAAACTGAGATTTTATCTCAGCGGTGGTACACTTTTGATCAAGCCGTCCCACGGTGGATCGAATCAATAGAAGTCTGACAAAATGTGGAAACTTTAAAAGCCTCATAAAATAACTTTGAAGTTTAAAAATTGGTTCCATTGGTTTCCTCGTGAAATTTTCTTTTTGGAGCACCCTTCAAAATTTTAAATAAGACGAAGTAAACATCAAAATTTTTAGTTCTAGTCAAAAATTTCATGTCCGACCTTTCTAATTGACTCGATCCACTATGCGTCGATCAAAATTATTCATTTTAAAAAACGAAAAAAAAACTCAGTAAAAAATATGAAGCATCAATACCTTTGAGTGGCATAAATGCCACGCCAAGAGAGTTTGGTTCATGATGCATGAGTAGATGGGACGAGTGTGATGGAGAGCCTAGGGAATTTTCATGCAAATTTTGACTTACCCTCAAAATACTCTCACCAGACTTTGAGGAGGCGTGGAAGACAGTTATAAAAGAAAAATGGAACCATATTTACAACCAATCGAATATGATGATTGGAATATTTTTAGCCATGCATATCAATTTTTTTTTTTTTGTCGATGGATATATCTTTCGATTTACGCATTTAAGCTTGAACTTGGATTATCCTTTGTGGAAAAATTGATTTTAATATGTGTCACCTAGTCTGCAAGCTGCCCGTAAAATATTATTTCTTCACTGCAAGTCCGGAAATTTTTTTTAACTGATTTGGGTCATTTATTTAAATATTTTAGTTTGAGTGTGTAACACATATGTATAGACACATAATTAAACATTGCAAGCATACCTACACATGGTAGAAAAAATAGAACAAAAAAATAGATAAATAAAACTGTTCATGCCATGTCTCCCTTCATGTCTGTCAATCCTCTGTATACTCTTGTATTTCTCTTCGTCCAATTGAAATCCCGTTAAAAATGGTTTTCTCTGGACTCGAACTTTTCGAAAGTTCTAACAGCGTCCTCCTCTACTCCAGAGAGCATACGGAAGTCCAATTGGACCTTGTTTAATAGAAAGGACCAAGCCACATCGGCCATTGCCACATTGAACTAGGCAATTCATTTTTTTACTGGAGAACGTTAGTGCAGATTCCTTTAAAAAATTAAGGAATTTCTTTCGAACCATGCAGAAAATATAATGGAAATTCTACAAAATCCGCACAGTCGTTTTCACGTAAAATATTAAACTGCCCAATTCAATTTGGCAATAGCAGATATGACTTGGTTCCTACTCTTTGGTTTATTTGACTATGCTTAACGCGGTTCAATTAGCATTTAAAGAGAGGGACAGGACTACCTTAGAAGGAAATAATAGGGACGATTTGCGCGGCGCACAGTTCTTAACAATTACTCCACTAATGCGCTTTCTTAAAGCTCATCTCTTGACAGTTCCGTTTCCGGTGTGCTCGCCGAAAGAGCATAGAGTTGCCAGTTTTTTTGGTAAAATGCGCTTTTTTTAAAGCGATTAAATCGTAGAAGTGGTTGTTCTGCGTAACTACCTGACTTGAATGCAGGTAATTGCTGCGTCGCAGCGCTGTCGTCTCGCGACATTTACGAGTTGTGGAGATGAGATCTCACCGTGTTGACAACTATGTTGCCGTTTCCTAAGGTCGAGAATTTATTCATTGTGTAATTTTATTGGAAATCCTATGCACACACGAGAGAGAGAGAGAGATAAAAATGCAATATGCTAGTGGCAGATCGCGGTAGACAAAATCTTCATAGCATATAGGTATATTGCAATGCGGTGGTTTAATGGTATCTAAATGACGATGGCCAAAGTGGATTACATTTTGCAATAAGGACCCACTATCTCTGGCTCTCCCATAAAAGCAAATATCTGCATAGGGAAACCAATGGCACGTATGTTGTTTCTAAAATGGGCCAGAAAGAGTGGTTCCTTATTGCAAAATGTAATCCAAGTATGTGAAACCACGTCTTCGTTTGCGACTGCAGACTCCCTGTCATGCGTAATTTTCTCCTTGGAAAACTAGTCATAGTAATTTTTCGAAAACTTCCTTGATTTTTTCACTGTGCTAGTAGAATATTCTGTAGAATTTTCAAGCTGTAAAGTTTACTTTCTCCTCCTTAAAAAAGTAAAAAAGGAGCGGAAATATTGAACCATCGCAATGGAGACACGTGGTTTTGCACTTTCGCCATCGATATGCTCAGGAAGCGCGCCATATTAGCATTTGAATTTTATCGATTTTTCCATTAAATCTTTGTTTTAGAAAAATTATGAATAGCTCTCCATGAGAGGTTCAGACTCTTAGCTTAAGCTGCAAATAAACTTACTTGAAAAAAAGAGAGGGAAATATCGGAAAGTTTTCCAAAATATTCGTATTTTATCAGAGTAAGTTTGGTAATGTTTAGAAATATCTATTCGTTTAGTCGTTTAGTATAATACGTTGAAGGAAAGACAAAAATTATATAAATCCAAATCATTTCGTAAAATTATTTGTACATAAAGTAATTAAAATACCATGAACCCAACCAAGTGAAATGAAAAATAGGTTTGTGAAAAAAGTGTCCAATTTTTTCAAGCATGATATTTTTACATTAAGAATATTATGAAATGGAATGATAGGTCTTGGAGTCTTATAATATGCAGTTGTTCATGCACGTAAATGCACAGCATGACGGATGCTGACAGTGCCTTAGCAGATGCATCTTAATTGCTATTAAGGCGTTGAGGGTGTTAAACCAAAACATATTTACAAGTGAGTTCAAAATATATATAGTATTTTCCTAAAGGATAATAACTAAAGCACATATGGGGAACATCCTGTAATTTTATAATGATAATAAATATTATTACTGTGAGGATGTCAAGGCACCCAGCTTGCATCTTTCACCTTTATGTCAACAATTTCATTGACTTCTCCGAGAGGTTGACGAATCCTTTGGTTGTTTTTCGTCGAAGGTATTGATAGTGTTCACTAAAATGTAAATAAAACGTCTAGAAAGTGGTGTCCATATTTATTTCAGTTTTGGATTCTATTGAACATTCTTAATCTATTATTTTATGAACAAGTACTATATTAACTATTTACACATACAGTTAAACTTAAATAGTACATCATCGTAGATCAAAGTAATTATAAATACATTTTGAGTAACCATATATATAACTATACTAACACTGTTCATCTCTTGGTATGATACTTTGTCATAGGTTACTGGTGGTGTTAAATCAAATGATGGAAAATTTCTTATCGAGCAATTAGTTTTATTCATAAGTTTCGTTAGCACGTGCAAGATAAAGGTACTTACAATTAAATCGACACGATGAGAAAAACGGACATTATTTTGAGGGAGTTTAATCATTTGTAATTTTTCTTTGACTGTATTGTCAATTATGCATTTAGATACTTCTATAATTTGATCTCATTGAACACAATAAGTTAGTGACACCTTTAAACTGATAACAAAAAAGGCTAAACAAACCTTTATGAAAATCGCTGAGGAAGTAACTCTTAGAATCTTGATTAATTTGAGTGCATGCGTCATGGACGAGGAATTGATATATAATCACAGTTTCAAAACTAACGTAGTAGCTCTTATTAGGCATGAATATAGAAGCTGGCCTCATTTTCAAAATAGCTCATTCTATTAATTCTTTATAAAACAAAGGTTGATTTTTCCGAAATTCCCTGGTTATAACGACAAAAGTTAAGTTACTATGAATTGATAAACTTTTCAAGGAAAGTTTTTACCTTGACTGAAAACGAAACATACGCAATGGATAATGTTAGCGTGAAATACATGTATCCAAAAAGTAAATTTTAGTTGAAGAAAGTTACTTGAAAAATCTTAGAAAATTACTCCAAAAATTAAGTTTGGCATAACAATTATATGGACTAGTTATAACGTAAATTTTTTTCGAGCAATCGCTGGCTTATGTACCCTTATTTTCATACTAGAGACGAGAAAATAAGCATATTTGTGAGATTTCTTACAATTATAATTTGAGCCTCGAATATTTGAAAAATTAAAGAATAAAAGTAATTATCCCTGTAAAGGAATCCAGGAAAACATTCAAAATGAAATTTCAAAGTATCGTATCATAAGTTGATCCGATATTAATTTTTTTCTAGTGCCTATAAAAATATATGCCAAGACATTGAAACAAAGTTTGATGAGAAAACAATGAGCAAGGCACGATCGGGCAAATTGGGGATTGGGATCATAAGAGGGAATAGTTAAATTCAGTCTCCAAGTTCGTGACATTTACGACAATTTCAGCTATAGAATTGCTGTTGGTAGTATTAATTTGAAGTTTAGTTGTCTTCGTATTCCTGTAGGGGCGCCTGGGGGGCTTGCTTGGGAGGTTGGCTTCTTTGAGCTTGGCTGGGGGCTGGTCGACTAGGAGCATTTTGTACTGGTTGTTGAGGTGCAGGCCTGGGCTGCTTGCTGGATTTCGGTGAGACTTTGGCCTCAGATTGATTGTTTAAGGTCCTGGCCTGGTTGGAGCTAGTGCCTTGACTGCTTCCTCCGCTACCGCCTTGAAGTCCGGCTAAAAGTTCACTCTTCCTAATGCTCTTCAAGTCCAAGTCACCGTAGTAGTCCTCACTGTTCAATTACATAAGCGTCAAAATTAGATCAATACAATGTGCCCAAAAATACCATTGGAGTTCTTGCATGTGCCAGGAATTTGTATTTTGAGTACTAATACCTCGGTAAAATTTTGCGAGAAACATGTTGATGCCACTGGGTTTCTCTGAAATTAACTCCAAAGCTCAAATAAAGCTCTCAAAGTTGAGGCTGTAATAGAGGAAATATCCCATACTGCCCTGAGAGTCCACCTCTATATCAAGATAATCTCTCTATACATGGATAGGGAGCAAATACATTTACAGGGTTGCCATTTTATTTGGGGACTCCAAAACTGAAATCACAGCAACCCTGCTCGTGTATGTGCTCCCTGAGAGTTTGACTAGTTATAGAGATGGACTCTCAGGATATCGTGGGATATTCCCTCTATTACAGCCTCAATTTTGAGAGCTTTTTTTGAGCTTTGGATTCGATTTTAGAGAAAACCAGTAACCATCGTGTTTCTCGCGAATTTCTACTTAAGTAAGAGTGCCTAAATCGCAAATCTATCACGCTTGCAAGAGCTTCAGTCAATGCATCAGAATCCCCCCATCTGTTCGTTCATTCGTCCTTCTCGCTACGAGTCGATTGCGCGATATCATAGAATCAAGCTTTCATGGTTGAATCTTAAATCTCGTGTATCGTCAAATTCCTGCATCCAATATTAAAACGGTTATGCCAACTGGAGAACATAAGGATGAACATCAAACACTACATTAACGCAAAGCAGGTTGGCAACTTCCTCATGATGATGCATGTTGAGCAAGCAGTGCAACATTCACGCAGCTTCGAAAATTAATGAGACTGAACTGAGGAAAGTAGAATTTTGCGCTAACACAAGGATTGATTTTATCCGTCGTGTTTTCCAAAGAGCGATTTACATACTTGTTCGCATTGGATCGAGAAACTCACCCTCCAAAAGCGCTTGTTACTTTGGTTTATCTCCTGAACTCAACCATTTAACCTTATGATTCTATGATGCGCGCAACTTAAATGTTGAATGGTATCCGTGCGAAATTCTCGATCAGATCAATAGCATCAATATTTAAAATTAATATAATTCAATTATTCAATTATTTTTGCTTTAAAATAAATACGTTTCGTAATCATATACCTTAAACACAGTTATGAAATTGCTTACTTATTAGTTGTTTACCCCCTCAATTTATTTTAATTTTTGACTTTTCATTTGTATTACTATATGTATAATTGTATATACTTTGGTAAAGTAGTACAGACGATACTCGGCACACAACTAAATTTATTTTTTTAATTCCTTTATTTCCAATTTTCACCTCTTCAGTATTACTAATTGGACTGCATTTTGCAATTAGGAATTACAATATGTGACTCACCTGCAAAAGCAATTATGCACATAGAGAAACTAATGGTATATTCGTCGTTCCTAAATTGAGCCCAGATAGCGTAGTTCCCTATTGCAATGCGCAGCCCAATTACAATTCCATCGAGACTATAATCATTGTTGAGGTGTTCCTGCCAGCACTTTAGTATTACATGATTCACATGTCGGTGAACAGTTGGACTGCATTTTGCAATTTGGAACTATGAATTCCGGCTCATCTGAAAAAACACTTATGTCCATAGGGAAACTAATGGCACATACGTTGTTTTTAGATCGGACCATATTTTATAGTTCCAAATTGCAAAATACAGTCCAGTTAATGCCTACCTCTAAACTTCTAAGTACCCACACTTTTTTTTACTCATTAATAACTGACCTATTCAATGGGAGGATCATTTAAGGGAATTTTAATCTACTATAACATTATCAGCTTCAAGAGATAAGAGTGTATGCATTCGAGTATGTAAACGATCATTACATTAAATGCTTCTTCTGATTCATGAATAATGGCAAGTTAAAACTTTGTTAATCTTAAATGAATGGGGTGATTCTTTCTCCTAGGGGTTGTTAATTTTTCTGTCACCCCTACTTATAAACCTTTCCGGCTACGATACCGTCTTTATTTGATTTTGTTACGTCATAAATTATAATTTGCTTAATTAGTTTTACTTCCTTTATTCCTATCTTGGGTTGTTTATTTAAGTTTTTATTCTTTTCAGTTTTTTTTTCATTTAATCAAAGATCTTCATCAATAACTTCATTGTTTATAATATGTATATAAAGGAACTTGTGTTTATTCAATTTTTTTTAAAAAAAAAACTGACAACGCAGCGTGTAATTTTCACTCCACATTATTCCAGTGCGACTGCCTTGTGCGCCATCCTTCTGATACGGTCTTCAATTTTGAAATGACGTTCTTCGATTACGTACGCTGTGAGTGTCTAATTGAAATTTTATTTATTAACAGGTAACACTGCGTGAGCTCATCAAATCGATCATTTCTTATTTCGTCCGCCTAGATCGAGTAAATACAATTACCGACGAGGCAAGACGAATTCTATTTTTTTTTTCTTATTTCTTTTTTCATTACCCACGTGGGTTTTTGGAACAAAATATCTTTAAAGACAAATTAGAAGAGCTATTAAACAGAATTTGATTCCATGCTTTGTTATATTTCAAATTTGACTTATGCTTATGGTAGAATGGTTGTTCACGTAGTTTCATTCGACTACTTTCGCGAAGCAAACACCAATTACATAGGACATCCTACTTTTGCGTCGTTCAAATTCCTATCTGTTAAGTGCGAGAGAAGATTTTATGTAATGCACAGTTCAGTTTGAAGTAAGAAAAGCCACAAGAACCAAGACATGCTCTCGTTCATAACCACTTTTCCACTCAACCATGCTAGGATCGCTCCTGTGCTCCGTGAAATGAATGAAAGTTAGACCAAGAAAAAACCGTCAAAACCACAAGTTACGGATTGATGTTTGCTGATTAGTTTTTCCAAGGAACTCTCCGTGCACTATTGTTTGAGTTACTCAGAAATGTTCTATGAGAAGTTTTAGTGATTCGTGTAGAAAATAAATCGGATACTGCATTAATAGAGACATTATTTCCAAGAGCAAAGTTTCATAGAGTAATTTTAGTTGCATTGCGAGTTGGGAGCTCTGTGCCTAAAAAGTGACTGACAAGGAATTTACGTTCAATGCATTTTCATTGAAGTCCATTATCCATTATTGTGCAAAAAGAAGCAGCATAATTCAATATAAAAGAAGTCTTCTGATATAATCTCAATGTGCTATTAATTACCAAATACATTTCTCCAAAACTTCCTCTTTAAAAGGCGTCAACTAATGTAAATCATATTGACACATTGATACTTTGCTCAAATGTTTTTTTAAGTACCTATATTTCATGACAAAGAATGCTTCTTGGGATCTGATAATCCTCAAGTGTCGTAGCCAGTGGCAAGGCGTGAATGGTCGATTATCGATATATTTCTAATTGAAGCTATGGTAAAGAATCGATTATTAAGGTGTTCGTTGCGAACACCCTGTTTATTGATCATTTACTATACGTTTAAAAGTCACATCAATCAATATATCGCAAAGCACGCCACGCCACTGGACGTAACACATTGAAGTATAGTCTCCGATTTATTTTTTATATACTGAGAAAACTGATTGATCTGCACTTCCCAGATTTAGCTTCAACTAAGCAGGATTTCAGTTCAAATTCACACCAATTGACCTTTGAATTAGTATCATTCACATTCACTAAAATTACATCCTCACTTACCTGTCAACAGCCTAGAATAACTAATACGCATATCTTTGAGAGAGATTTGGAGGTTTTCATATGTAAACTGCTTCAATATATTTGAGGCATATTTCATAAGGAGAGTCGTTAAACATAAAATTCTTTTCAAAACTATTAGATGTTAGGCTGCCATGATATTCAATTTTTACGGACCTTGGAGGACAATATTCTCTATTTTTGACTGTCTCATTGCACCTCTTATTTTTAATGGCATAACCGTACATAAAAACTGATCTCTGCAACACTATCAATCATGACAACCTCTAGAAAAACCTAAGGGGTGTATAAAATTTGATTTCTTCTTAAAATTTTTACTAAAATTTCATACTTAAGGGTTATCTACAGCAAGGTTTACGCAAGTGGTTGTTAGTGAATCAGTGATAGGCTGGGAATAAAACGTGGATTGGGCGCGAGGTGCAGCTATAGTTCATGTCCCCACGAATAGCTTGAAAGATGGCTTAGCGATGTCATTTACTGTCGTTTCGCAAAGAATCAACTTTGTTTGAAAAGTACGAGTAAATTATGTGCTCTGTAAATGTTGAGCTGTCATTAGAATTTTCTAAACCGATACCTTAAATTCCTCTACTATACTCATTCTCATTGCATGTTTTCCCGTTAATTGCACTTTCATGCACGTTAAAGTATTCGCCACCAAAAAACATCTACCATTTGGTTATGGTGACATTTCTTTTTAAAGAAAAAAATCTAGTTAACCGCAACTACGAGATTAATTATTTTATATACCACCTCAACCATCACTACTATTACTAAAAAAAAAGAGATAGAGAGAAAAAATCGAATGCATATTTTGGCTGAATAATGATAACGTAAAAAAATAATTTTGTAGCCTCCAGTATCATTTTAAAAATAAAGTAAGGCCCTTCCAGTTGTTTTACGTTAAAGACGCTCTAACAAGCATTGGCAATTTGTCATGGTATCCTATCCATCCTCCCATGATGTATGTTTGAAAACTGTTTCACCCACAAGTTGTATCGTATATACTTCAGTGCAATGCAGAAACCATTTTATGGTCATCATTTTGATATCAATTTCCTAATTACATGCCAGCACCCTATAATTCCGCATTAAAATTTTGCTTTCTGATCTTCCGAAATCGGAATAGTAGCTTTGTAACTACTTAGAAGAGAATTCCTAACGATCAAAAAAGTGGGGAAAATCGCCCTCAAAACAAAGAGTATGCAAAACCACGACCAAGTTATCCAAAAAATACTCGACCTTTGTCTAGGGTGTTTATATGGTCTTGATGCATCATCTCGCTCAAGTTTGAGGTAAATATTTCCTTTTAAGACAGATTTGGCCAGATGAGCCAGTTGCACACGAAAGATTTTGCAAACTATGTAGACTTTTAACTGGTAAAATTGAACAAAAATCATATTAAGCAGATCAGAAATGTGTAAAAACGACCTCTTAACGCATTTTTAAGTAATTTGTATCACGCACGCATACTTATATGTCTCCTACGTCTGTTTAGACTTTTCTCTCGATTCCGAGGAATCATACAATTTTATTTATTAATCGACAATTATCGATATTTCTCACGCATGATTCCATTCATAAGAGCAGCATTTAATTTTGTTTTTCCTTACGAATAAAGAGGCCACAATGCTCAACAGCTATTCAAATAATATGTGAGGAGAATTTCAAGTGACCTATGAGTATTTTTTGTCGCCAAAGGCCAGTTTCTTTTTCTTTTCTCTCTGGGCAAATCTATGTTACCGGCGACTATGGAATACCCCGTGTGCACGGGGTATCAATCGTATTCAATCCTGAAAATTAGTTATACACGTTACGGAAATTTTGCGTTTAGGAGTGGATTTTAAACATTTTAGTTGCTTAGTGAGATATTTGTGCGATCTCACCCATGAACAGTCTACTCAGTTGGTGTTTCTTTCATGTGAGATAAACCAATCAGAAGTAGTGGTCCAAGCTCTCCTTACTGGATGCCATAGTTAGTCCTAATTATCTATAGCTGGACCTCAACTTATTAGTATTCAGCCACAACAAATTGTGGTCTAGACACAACCCAACTATGGTCTACACGGAGAAAAATCTATGACTTTATAAACCAATTAGCGGTTTATATGGAACACCACTATTAGTCGTAAATGAACTAATGATTCTTGGTCTGTGAACCATACCAAGGTATATCGCGTACCATATTAAGGTATATATACCATCACTAAGGTATATGCGTTATTATTTTAAAAATTTGTGGTAAACTCCTGGTCTCCGACGTAAATAGCCTGGTTGCTGATCGTCGTAAACTAACTAACTAACTATATTAAGTTGCCTTTACTACTATTAATGGTGTTCCATATGAGCCACTAATTGGTTTATAAGCCATAGCTTTCTGTGGCGTGGTGTCAATTGCGATGCATCGATTGTTATGGCATTTAAAATTATGGTAAAAAATCGACGGTGTAAGTCGGCAATCACATAACTCGTTTGCGGTGTCTGAAAATCTCCGCCTCTATGTTATTTTTTTAGAGGAAAACAAACTGATATCATACCTTGAAATTTTTGCAGAATTTTCTTTGCACAGAGAAGAAAAATCACGGCAGTTTTAAAAGAATTGTCGTCGAGTAGTTTTCCGTTTAGAAAATAAAGTATGACAGGAAGTCTGCGACGTCGCAAACCGAGTTATGTGATTGCCGACTTACACAGTCGAAATCCATTATTAAGGTGTACCCTGTTTATCGATCCTCTTCCATAGGTTTAAAAGATATAACAATCGATACATCGCAATACACGCCACGCCACTGATAGCTTTTTCTCGTTGTGGTCCTGAAAAATCAAACATGGCCATTTCATCCGATAAGGTTTATGTGGCTGGACCCCAAAAATTAGGGTCCAAACACAATTGATTTTCTCCAGCTATTTTGTCCCGGTGTCACTCGGGACAACACTGTGTCGGAGGAAGAAAACTCACCAGCCGGGAACATCCTCGGGATCTTCGCAGTTTCCGGCTCCGTCGGTGTCTCCGATCTTGAAGACTGTGCCGATGGGGCATCCGTATTCTCGTGGGACTCCTTCTAAGCAGATGTAGTACTTGCGGCAGTCGTCAGGGTGAGCATGACGGGAGAACGATCCTGAGGAGCCAGCAACTTCTCCGGCAGCCGGGCAAGCGAATCCGTTTCCAACCTCTGAACCAACGAAATTAAGAAAACCATATTTAAGTCAAATTTCTTATAAAATAGGCCTTTTTTCCTTTTTAATTTTTTCTGGAAACGTATATTTCTAAAAAATCTCAGATAAATTATGTCTTGATATGATGCTTTCATAACATGACTTTCTTTCCAAAAACAAACAACATCAATCAGTTGTGCTGGATTTCGAGAAAATTGCGAGAATGCAACAGATTTTTATTTAATTATAGATCCTTTGGATTGGATTGTACTGGTGAGTAATACTGAACAGTGACTGAAAACTTAATTGTTACTATTTCATATTTCTCGACGGGACAAAACAAGGATCAAGAGGAATAGAGGTATGTAATTGGCAGGTCTCCCCGTAATCCTCTTTGATGTGTCAAGGTCCAGTAAAATTGGCGAGAAACTAAAGTACCTTCTTGAAAAGCCGATATTTTGTCGTTAATTCCTCCGACATATTCCCAACAAAGAGGACTGACGAAGTTAACCAATCACAAAACTCTGTTTCTACTTGGTTTTGTTTTGTATTGTCTCATCAACAAACACGTACATTTTTTTTTTAAAAAAAAAGGAGGAACCTTTGTGATATTAACAGAAGATTAAAAAACATAAACACGTTCTTCAGCAAAAAAAAAAACGGAATTAAAATGTGCATTAACGTATATTTTAAGGATTAAAATGCATCGATATTACATTTCAATTTTAGCAACGATTATTACTGTCACAAATCTTGCGAATGGTTTACGAACTCCATATTTAATTTTAATAAAATACGTATTCACGCACTACTGAGCGTTGTAACTTTCGATTCATTTGACCTTTTCAATAAAAAATCTATACCTAAAATGTCATTAAAAAAAGAAACATAGTTACTCCATATTTAATTTTAATAAAATACGTATTCACACTACTTAGCGTTGTAACTTCCGATTCATTTGACCTTTTCAATAAAAAATCTATACCTAAAATGTCATTAAAAAAAGAAACATAGTTAAATTAAAGTAAAAATTAAAGAAACCTCTCTTTTATTAATCGCACTGTAAAATTTCACGAATTCTCCTTCCCGCTGAGATTAAGTAATCCTGAATTATGGTGGCGCAAATTTTCAAAAACCGGATTATCAAATACTGAATTTCAATGGACCAATGTCAGGGACGGTGCGTCTACCTTTTGATTGATAACATCGTCATTTTTTCAACCAGCGACGGCACGTAAGAAGATTGAATAACGTATGATTTGAAAAGATTCAATGAATTAGAAGATATCATCTGAGTTATCTTAATTATGATACTCATTGCACTTACTGTGTCAACCCATAATACTTAAATTTTTTTAGAAATTAATTCGGCATCAAACTGACGCTAAAGTAGATCCTGTTCCGGATAAGTATAACTATACCCTTTTCATCTGCTTGCTCACATATCAGTAATGGTACCTGCGCAAGAAGATGAAAAGATATACTTATTAAAGACGGGTTATGGTTTCAATTCTGTGTAAAATTCTATCCTTGGTGTTGGGAGAAACTTTAGTAAATTATTCTGTTATGTAGAAAGCTTATTCAGATTAATTGAATTGATTTTAAATATTTCAATTCATATAACTCATTCGATTTTAACTATTAATCATAAATCGTACCTTCTTGTTTACATTCTGCTACTTGGTCAGCCCACATGCACACTCTGGATTCTTTGTCGTAGGCCAATCCAGGACTGCACTGATACCTGCTGGCTTCTCCATTCCAACAGTTCCAGAAAGTGTCACACTTAGAATCATCGGCGAAGATACCATACAACCTAGGGCAGTGGGGCGTTCCGATGGCGGGCTCTGAAATTTTGAGATATTATGTGTCGTTAATAGATACGGAAAAACCCTAAAAACTCATTTTCCTCTTATTTTTGGGATATATTTAGGTGAATTTGTTCATTCCGCTGATGAAAATTAGTAAAGGACCAACTTGGATGTAAATTCAACTGAAATACCTATACCAACTTTAATTCAATTTTTCTCTTCTTTTTTGCTGAGATTCTAATTTTTTTTTGCCCCATCATTCCAAATGATGTCCTTGATAGTGATGTCAACCACACGTCAGACGGTAACCAAACTGTTCAACATCTTCAAAACAGCTTAATATGAGCAAACATAACTCGGGATTTATGATTTTTTTTCATCAACTTATTTTCGGTTTTTACCGTGGTTTTAGTATGATGAGACTTTTATTACTTCATTCTCATCTTTTGCATCTTTTTTTTTTTTTTTTTTTTTTTTTTTTTTTTTTTTTTTTTTTTTTTGCAAATAACAACTCGATTTAGATGTATTGTTAACGACTATGAGACCGCATCTGTTCATAATTTATTTTTTCGACTTTTACCTATCTGTGTCCTTTCTCCACAGTCAACATTGTGCAGGTAATCACAGTTTTCCTTAAGGTATTTCGGGTCAGTGTCGTCAAAAGCCAATCCATTCCCGCAAGTTTTCAGCTCAGCGACATTGTTATCACACTTCCAGTATTTATCACACGATAAATGATGGGGATAGAATCCGAAGTCATCTGGACATTTAAAATCCTCTTTTTGACTGTGTCCTGTAACATAGGAAGAAAGAAAACAAATTATTGATGCGGAACTATATGTATGGTATAAACATGAAAATTACTGTGGTTATTATTACAGACTGATGATGCTATTCGTAAAGCTTAAAATATACCCTCGTCTCGATGGCGAGATTTTTAGATAAAAAGTGTCCTGTCCTCTGGTTTGAGGACTTCAAAATACACTTGACAATGAAGATTTAAGAGCAAGAGTGGGCAGATAATACGATTGAATTAGAAAACCTCAATGTCATTCACCTTCGTTCAATTCGATTCGCTTAAATCACCTTCAGGAAAGAGTGCGAGCTTGCGATCTTTTGTATGCTAGCCACGACAAATCTATCAATGATCGTCCTTTATTTTCCAAAAATACCATTGTGGGACATCGCGGATTAAAAATTTAAGTGACATTAGTTTTAAAAATAAGCTGTTAGTTTAAAAAAAAAGTTTAATAAATAGCAGTTTGTCAATTTGGTTAAAAGTTATTTTTGAGTATTAATTTCATGAATGAATTGAATTTTAGAACTAGATTTCCCATTCTAAAATTCGATTATACATTTCACTAAACACCGGAATGCAGCCAGTAGACATTTACTGACTGAAAATTTCAAGATCCTTAAGTTGACTCAAAAAAATAAAATAAAACATAAATATCAGACTCTTGATCACTTTCCGCAAGATCTTGTGCGACCACAAAAAACAAACCTCATTCAAAGATTTTCATTCAAAATTTTAATAAAATGTAATTTGTAAAACATCGACATAATTTGTTCGAGGAAATCGTACTCCAAGCTGATTCGCCCGTATTTATCAGAGCTTTCTATGTCATCCTATGGCAACCATGTAAATTTTAGCCGGCGAAAATAAAGATAGAGGATCAAATGTAACAAGCTGTGCTTCGATATGAGACGCAAGCCGCTAGCGAGACAGACATTAGCAATCACTCCCAAGGTCATGCTTTACGAGTCGAAGTCCCACATGTCAGACACTCGGGTGTAATATATCGAGGACCTTGAACTTGATGCCTACAGTTTAACTTAAAATGGTCATTTTGGGTGTTATTCAGTCCTGGTAGATTCCTTCTCAACTGATCAACACCCTACCGCCAACAACTTTCATAGCCAAAAATAATTTATCGGCTTACATAAGCCTACCGCGAAATCTCGTGAAATGTGATTCCCCCGCATAATTTTGTGAGGGATTTCTCACACAAGATTCTCGTTGATATTCTTCTGATCCCAACTCCATAATGAATTTGATAGAAATATTTATGTGAGAATACTTCACGTAAATTAAGGGTTAAGGGACTCAATTGAGCCTGCTTTGTAGGCACTTCAAAGGGCTACGGAGAATCGTTTTTTGGACTTTACTAACCATGGTAAGTTTTGAAGTGAATTTTGGGATTTGATTATTTTTCCGTCTTATTAGAACTTGCCGTCAGCGCTAAATTCTCATAATTTAATCATCAATAAGAGCACAAATTTGCTACATCAGATATGCTCCCATTTAACTATGCTGAATGTATTATTTCACTTAATTTATAGCTGTCAGGAAAACACATCTCCCCTTGATTTCAGCATTACTAATTTTATTTGCCTTCCAAGGATCATCATTTGACGGCCAAATCGACAGCGTTGTTCCGTTCAGAAAATAGGTGACAGAATTATTGAATTAATTCAATATAATGAGCCTCCAGAACGATCGAAAGAAAGAGAAATTGAATTAATTGACAGGTGAGGGAAGTTGAATGTATGATATAAAAAAGTCTGAGATTTCTCAAGAATTTTGAAACGCAAACTCGAAATGTATGTTACTAAGAACACAGACTTCACTTTTGTTGGCCGACTTCCGGACGTAAATGAAGGTGTGGGTTTAAAATCCAGTTCCGCGTGAGTTGGATAAAGCTGCTCTGACCAATCATCCGTCTTATGTAATACGTCTAAACTTCGGTTCATTAGGTTTGTAAAATATTATTTCTTCTTTCTCTTAGCCACTGTCCTCCTCTTAGTTCACCTTTTTATGTCAGTATGCCACCGATCGCTTTTTTCGGGCCTTTAGTCTCTCGACAGAATCCATTGACATCAGTGGCACAGTTAATTTTCATAATATTCTCTTGCCAGTCAATGAAGGCTGATATATGCGTTACAAGTCCGTGAATATTTTGTACTATTCAATGAACAGATGTGTTGATTGTTAAGCACCGAAGGAATCTTAATTTGAGAGATGTCAAGTTGAGATTAGGGACGATTGTACAGAAATCCGAAGTCGTTATATTATGAAATGGGCAATTTGGCCAAGCATGCATCAGTTCAACTCTGCCGTGCTAATGAAGAACGCCGTATGAGCCTTCAGACGTTGCCAAGTTTCCGTCAATAAAAACTAAATTCACTGAGAAAATTGTGAATATTTTTTCCCATCATTTTCAGACAATTTTGAACGCAATTCAATCTAAAATATCTGAAAATTTCAAGGGAAAATATGCATAAATGTCGTCAAATGTACATGTTTAGCATGGGAAATATGGCAACCCTCGAATGTTCATATGTTCATACGGCGTTCTTCCTTAGCACGGCAGAAATGATCAGTGCCTCACTGAGAAGATTTACTTTCTGCTGCATGTCATCGCGGAGACTTAAACGCAAGGGTAGAAAAGTAAACTATCCCACCATAAGAGTACGAGTAACAGGTTTCTAAATTCGTAGTGGTTAAAAATTTGATCAACTTGCATTTACTATGCTGAATACTTTCTTATATTACAAAAATAATTCAATGCAATTTTCCATTAATAAAGAATAGCAAAAAACCATTCATTTTTAAAAAAGAAAAAAAAAAGAGAAAAAAAACCCTCGATGGCAAATAAAAGTAAATTAAACAAAATACAAAATTACTAGTAAATGAAAAAGTTAAGGGTTGTTCGCAAAAGTGATATTTTACTGGTAATTATCAGCGGTGAAATATGGTAAACGATACAATTCATCGCAGAAAACCAATCAATAGTGAAAGAATTGGACTCTGGTCACACAAACTCTGACCCTGAAACACACAATTTCATAGGTGGCTCTATATACACCGAGAAAAAAGATTGGTAGAATTTACCATTCCTTCACGCTGTATTTTACACAGCGTCAATTCAAAGTCAATTCTGCCAGAGGAATGGTTACCTGTACCAGTATACAGCAACGCTTACCTTTCTTCTGGCAGGATTGACTCTGATTGACGCTGTGTGGAATATAGCGTGAAGGAATGGTAAATTCTATCAATCTTTTTTCTTGGTGTAAAATTGAAAATTGTTATATCGGCGCAAGGGTAGAAAATTTCACCGTTTTAAGCACATTGAAGCGATATTTACAGCACCATCGAGCTCTTGATCATCGAGAGAATTGAAAGAATGTCGTTCTTCAAATAGACCGGAATTTTGACACGAAAATCAGCCACGCCCAACAGAAGTCATGCCTCGTCTGTGCATCAAAAAAATGGTCGGTAGTGGAGTGCAAGTACTCATAATTCGGTTTGCGGCCTGTGAACTAGTTGAACCCTGCGATCGACGCAAGAACCAGTTACCAATAACCTTTATCGGGAAAAGTTGTGCAACCGTCTCTCACAATGAGTGTGCCGTGGTCGGCTGAGAGAAAGCACAAGACAGGTGACTGAGCCTCATCATACCTTGCCATTTACAACTATTTTCATCATACTTATCCAAATCTGTCGTCGATTCTGTACCAACAGCATCCGACCAAATTCACCGGCTCTCGGCTTTGACGCAAGCCATATGATCTATGGCTGCTACCTATTCCCGCCAACCTTCCGTCCAACGTCGTCCCGAGTAAGCTGCCAAATCGTCCACTAAATTCCCGGTATTCGTATACTTACAAGTTTTTCCCCCTAATCAAGCGCAACAGGTACCAACATTGGAGCTCATCGCAAAATTAGCTAGCACACGTGTGGTTGGTCAGATGGTTTACTCGAGTTCATTCAACTCATTTTAAATAGTGCTCATTGCATTGACGTATACTCTGCATACTCTCTTCGCCCTCCTCCACTCTGTCCAGTATTGGGAACTTATACCGTTGAAATTTGGAGCGAAATTGCCATTTTTTGTTTACCCTATTTTTGTTTTTAGTTTTACTATGTCAACTAAATCCTCTCGGTTAATTGAATTCGAATTATAATACACCTCTTTGAGATCTCATCTGAAGTGAGGATGTCTCTTACCTCCTAGATTTTATGACTCACTTAAAATACACGCGGGACATTATATGCATTCTTTTTTATGGACTTTTTTGTAGTTATCATGTACGTCGTTTCAAATTGCATGACTTCAGAATGAGCAACTAAATTAATTCAAAACTTTTCAGAAGAAAGAGGTTACCAACCTTTTTTTCGAAAATTCAACAATAATAATTCTTACCCCATGCGGATCATATGCAACCAGACAACCTAATAACTAATACTGTTCTTCAGTCCATGTATAATACCACTTCGACTATAAATAACTTCCATATTCATCAGGAATCAATGATTCCTTTAATATAATTGATGATTATCTCGTAAGACTACTTAGAGCTACCTAATACCGTATACCTCGTTTTTTAATCTAAAATCGCCCAACAATTATTTTCATTGATGTACGAAAACACTACCGCATCAGCTCAATTTTCATTCGATACTCATTCTATAAATATAAATTCAAGTCACGTAACGGCAGGGGTTAAAAGCCCAGTTATAAGTGCTGATGAGTCACTTAACACGCTATTATGTGCATTTCCTCTTGATATTTCAACAGAGACGTGACACCTGCATCAAATTATACCCGAGATTCATTCACATACGCTCAACTCATCAACGGGTGTGATCGAGGACCATTAACACGTAAGCAAGTGCAATGCCTCACCAGGTCCTATTCGATCGCCATTGAATGCATCCAGTCATTCATCGCTGCCAAATCAGTTATTTAGTCCGGAAAAAATTCAAAGGAACGAAATCATTTTAGAAGA